AGGAGAGACGGGCAAGAGAATCGTAATCGTATGGTTGCGACATTTGATGAATTCGCGCTACCCTTTAGATTGGAGCATCGGATTTCATGTAAACATGGTAGACACTTATGTCTATTTTTGGTCATACATTGTCTATTCTCGACAATACCACCTAAAATCGTCGTCATAGCTGGCGCGACGTCGCACGCGACGCCCACTGGCGCGGCGAGTTGCGATTCTCTTGCCACGGGGTGAGGCGTTGCCTAGGAGTGTGGAGCATTACTATCGAGCTGCGGCATTGCATGCATTACAAATTCGTCTTATCTGGTTGACTAGTCAGACACAGGCACAGAGAGAGGTAGTCGTCTAGAGAGACGCCGACGCAAAGGGAGTCGACGCGCCGCAGCACTGCCACGTTGGATGGATTGGGTCCCGATGCGAATGCAGCGTGCGTTACCCACTTGCTTCCGCTTCCATTCGGAAGCAACCTCTACACCTAATCCTCAGCGGCAGCGGGCCACGAATCTTTCTGTTTTTTTTTGGGCTGTCCTACCCAAATAGTGTCTAGTAAGGCTCAGTCGAGAGAAAAGGGCGCTGACATGCAGGTAGCAAGTGCGACCGCGTCTAGTGCAGCCCACTGCCTCTCCCCCATGCCCAGGCGCCACTTTTTCCTCTGTCGAGTTTAAAGAAATGATTGCAGTCATATTATCACTTTTCTTATTTTTCCCAAAAAGTAATGTGATGATCCTGGGTTCAAATCCTGGGTCAAGTGCGGATGGTAAATTGGTACCAGATTCGTCTGGGAGGATAAAACACTGACTTGTACATCGGCTGGCCCCCGCAAGTCATTGTATAGGCCACATCGCATTCAGTAAGCCACTACGATTCTGAATGGAAGCAGAATGCGTGCCGAATCCGATTGATCAACAGGCAAAGACTTCACCCTTTTGATATGAAAAGTAATGTAGTCTTGAGATGCACTCGATCATTCGGCCTCAGTGGAGAAGAGGAATGTATATGCGACGGTGATTCCTATACAAGATGCTTCGCCGTGGAATCAGCAACGAAAAGGACCCATGGAAAGGACGCAGATGCACAGGAAAAGACACCTGTGAGTGTTAATTGAAAGTTCGGAACTAAGCTGA